CTTGGAGCATCAGTTCGTCATGAAGAATCTATTGGAATCAGTGGTGAACTGTGCTTTGATTCAAGGCACATCGTTGCTAAATTCTCCGGGTGATATTTGGTCGCTGGGAGAGGAGGGGGGGGTCGTTTTCAGGCTGAGAAAAATCTATTTCGATCGTTGATTTTTCTTGTTTCACGGACGTTGTAGAAGGTCGTATTTGTTCGTTGTTGGGAGGGGGTCGCGCATCCCTTCTGAAGGAGGTTGCACGACTTCTCGTAATTTTTCCTCTTTCATGTGTACTCCCCACTCGAGGGCTCGATGAGGAGGGAACTGGAAGGGAGGTGGGACCGAGCCCATAAAAATAGGGGGAGTGGTGGCACGGACTCGACCGAAATCCTCAAAAAATGATGTGCCCGCCTTGATTAAGACCTCCCCGTGACATACAATATTTCGAGCTTTCTAGGTGCTCTTAGGTGGAGTTCGAATTAAAAGAGGTCGATTTTTCGGTGTTGCTGCTTCTATATCCTTCTAACCTGAAAAACTTCCCAAAAAAGTCTAAAATTCATCTGTTGCGGGAGACAGCGCGCGAACTGCACTTTTCAAAGACAGGTGATATTAGAAATTTGTTTAGGCTTTGTACCAAAAAACCAGTGCAAAAAACCTAAAGATGCAGAACTTTAACTAATTCTCGCAAAACCTTGTAGACTTTGGGAGATTAGAAAATATTCCAATGGCTATGGACAAGCTCGCTAAAACAACTAGGGGAGCAAGTGTAACAGTTCCTGAGTGGAAGTGGCATCCACAACTCTTTCTTCCACATCTTTTGGTGACTATTCGTGGATCATGCTTGTATCGTAATACATGTATAATATTTCAGGTTTCATTGTTACACGATCTGGTGACAATCAAGTGGAGGCAAATTTCGGTATCTGGGACCAGGTAATGGCCCTTCAATGGATTCAGGCAAATATAAAACAATTTGGTGGTGATCCTTCTCGAGTCACACTGATGGGCGAGTCAGCTGGTGGTGCTGCATGCAGTTTATTAGCGCTCAGCCCTAGAACTGAAGGTTTGCAGCGTCGTCTCTGGTCAATGAGTGCTTTTTGGTATTTTTTTTGTCAACGCACTTTTCTAGGGCTAGCACAACAGGCGATTATTATGAGTGGATCAGTCACCGCCGGATGGGCCATTCATCGACATGGGACTCCTGGTTGGAGTTTGGAGAACCTCGTGAGCTATTTGAGGTTCGTTGTCCGAACTTTTCAGAAGGGTTTATCAACCTCAACTCTGACTTTCATATTCTCTAAAGCGCTGATCACACAAGACGTGGAGGTCAACGCTTATTTTCGCAACCAAGTACAGTCATGATCTCCTCAAAGTGAGTGTGAAGAGGCTTAAATTGGTGCGCAGCTAGAACATCCTTTCCTCGCCAATTGCTGATGAGGGCATCACTGGTGGAAAAGGACGTTTTGGCCGCTGTTCAATCAATCCACGCCCTGTGGCACGCCTATCGTTTATGGGGATCACGACTGTGCACACATTCATAGCAAATGGTGAAGCAGCAAAAGTCCACTCCAGTCATATCAACTTCGAGGAGCAAATGTTTGTAGTCTGATCAAAAAGGCCCGAGCTCCAAAGCCCAAGTGTCTCGTTATTTACTGCAGAATCTACGAGATTTGAAGGCACGGCCCACCATGATCACCAATAATATCCGAGTTCTCTGAGCCCTTCGGAGGGGAAGTTAGTGTGAAGCGCAACGAAGAACCCTGTACAAGTTTCGCGTCAACACGTTTTAAGGTAGCGGCATTAAGAGACAAGGTTTTCCACGTGACTTCGCCAAAAAAATCAGTGACTCCGCCCACGTTGATAGATATCTTATCGTTTGTCTTACTCGCTTGCGGGCTCTCTCGCCTCTCTTGTCTATCCTCTCACCCGAGAAGCACATCGACTTCTTGTCTTCGCTCAGCATAGGGAAAGCCTGATTTCAAGCAAATTCTACTCTTTCCTTCGCTTTTTCATTTAGGAGCGGGTCAATTATTCTATTTTTAACCCTGATGCCATAGAAATTCTCGCTGGTTTTCCATGTGGTTTCAACCCTAATCTAAACAGGAAAAAGGTGGTCGTGCCAAATGACGCCGATTTGGTGCGACAACCTTTTTCACCAGAATCGTTGCAAAACTGCACAATACGGTCGACTGATACTCTGTTCACGAAAATGACATTCACTTTTCCTCACCAGCGGAGTTCAGCGCTCTGCTAAGGCTGAGTCTGGGAGGAAGAGTGATTTCCTCCCCACTGGGCTCAGCACTAGCAGAGCACAGATGATCAGGATAGCCTTTTTTGGTACCGGTGCCAAGAATGAATGTTTTACTCGTGAACAAGATGTCAAATAACCCTCGCATACAAGTTTAATCTCTACTGGTGAGATGGGTGGTGGCGCCAAATGGCGCCAGCGCTAGAAATTACTATCATATTCGTGAACGGGATAATGAGTCACCTCTGACAAAGATTCAACAAAAAAATTCTTGAGTTCTTGGTGTAGTAACAGTGGTGCAGTGCTAATATGCCTAGAAATACTTTCAAGCCTACTACACACAACTTTATGAGAATGTTTCTCATTTCAATAAGTGTTTCCAGATGCGAGAGATTGATCAGTGGCGCTGAATATGCTTCAGAAGTGGTGGGCGATGAGTACAAAGCCGAGGACTTGGCACAGAAAAAGTGCAATTATCAGAACGAGCTCGTGCCTTGCCTGATGGTGAGCAGTATCCGTTATAGAGAACAAATGGCAGCCATTATGAGTCTCATAATCACCACTATGTCATTCATCTGGCACATCCTGCGAAAACAAACTCGTAGTACGGCTGGCAGTACTTCCTCCAAGATATTTTGGGATATCAACCTCTAAAGTTCAATTGTTGTGGGAGGTGTCGGGAAAAGTGCTATCCTTAGTGAAACATAAAATCAAACTGGCCTCAAAAGAAAAAATTATTCTGGATCCATGCTACTTTGGACCGCCTCTAGAGTACCATGTTCAGGACGATCAAACCCCAGAAGAGCAGCTTGTTTGCCTTCGAAGAAGTCTCAATTTCAGTTCTCCATTATTCCGCAAGGCCCTCGCGTACGAGGCAAGTCATGCTACTCTTTATTCATTGAGTCATATGCCTTATGATTTTTACAATGCAGTTAGGAGTTTCAAAAATCGTGGTAGATGGAGATCTCGTCCCAACGTCAGGGATAGACCTGGTAAAAAATTATGCTCGAATACCAATCATGACTGGTGTGGCACGAAAGGAATGGGCCCATAAGAAACGTGAGTACCGCTAGCTGATTTCCATCGTTGTCGTTTCACATCAGATGACATCAATTTCAAGCTCAGTTCTACAACTTGCATCGCAAATCGTCGTTGACAGCCGATGAGGCTGGAGATAGCGTGTTTCGAATCGTTGAAGGATCTTTTCATGACACCTCTCCGATCAAGCTCAACAACGCAACATTGCATCTGGTCGCGAATGCCTCCTTCGTTCGGTGAGTTTATTTCTTCATTTTTTCATATCTTATTTTTTATTTCATTATTTTTCGAAATTTTCATTTAATTTATTCTTTATAATGGACTTCTTATGTAGTATGTCTGTATCTTTTTATCATTCGTAAGATCACCATCTTCATCAATTGTTCATGATGAACCTGCCAAAAAGCGGGTATGGGGCACTGATTCGACACCCGATGCCGCGAAGGTAGCAAACAAGCGTTGCAAGTGGAAACGTGCGCGCGGCATTCAAACCAGGACCTAATTGACCTACTGCTGCAGTGCTGCACCTGCACCTGTCGAATCAACCAGTCGGGAGGTGCTCTACTGACTGTCCGCGTTTCCGCCACGTAGAAATAATAGTTCACGCTCGAAAAAGGCTATTTTCATCGGTTGTACCGACCCCTCTGCCATCCTCTTCAAGCTACCAACACCGTAGTCATTTAAATTGTCTCGCATAGTGCCTCGTTATCTGCAAATACCCCATCAATCAGGTTTTTTCACCTATAATCGTCAAAAGACATCGCATTCCGTCAGCCAAATGATCGAGTTGAGCCTGAATCTCACTAATGCTAAGAGTAATTTCTCCTGGATCAAGCTCACTTCGCTAACCCAGCCCAGTAAGAGTAGCGATCGACTCCCGGACAGGGGCGGAACTATTAAAGGAAGATTCGCGACATTCCCCTAAATAGAAGCCTTTACTTGCATTTCCACAATTATGGTGGGGCAATAAGGAAAGGGACTAATGTTACGAAAAGGGAATCCTGTTTAATGCTGATGCTAGGGTGTGTCAGGGAGGAACTGGGCTTCGCGCGGCGTACTCCGTCTTCCACAAATCGCTGTCCTGCACCCCTCGTCTTCCACAAATCATTGTTGTTTGCCCTAACTTAAAGACACATGGTACGCTTCAAACACATTGAGGGTGTATGAGACTAACAGCCCCCCAGCTGTCGATGTGTCGTGGTTTCCCCGCCCGAAACTGCACGGGGTTCCTAGTACGGGACCGTGGGAAAGGCTTATTCCTTGCTACACCGCCCAAAATGCACCGCGCGCAGGTTGCATTTCGCCGCGCGCAAGTTGCATTTCGGGCGGCGTAGCAAGGAATAAGCCTTTCCCACGGTCCCGTACTCGGAACCCCGTGCAGTTTCAGGCGGGGAAACCACGACACATCGACAGCTGGGGGGCTGTTAGTCTCATACACCCTCAATGTGTGAGGTTACAGCATGTGCCTTGTAAACAAGCTGGTGGTGAACGACTTGGCCCCGCGCCAAACTTGGGCCCCCGAGAAACGCCCCAAAACGCAGGTTACAATACTGTACCTCTGAAATTCTCAACGGGCCTATACACATATTCCGGAGTTTAAAGGCAGTTGGCACGATTAATCAAACAGCACACTAGGATTAATATGCCTGGCATGACGAGATTCCGCGCGACCCTGAGCAGGCGCTGCATAGCGCTTTTCCCAAGGAAGGAGCCTTTTATGAGGGCCCTATGAAGCTACAACATTACGCCCCGAACGCCCACCACGCCCGCCCGCCCACAAATGGACGACCGTTCCTGACGCTCGTATTGATTCATTTGCTAAGCAAATTATGAAGCGAAGGGATTGGTATGAAGGGGCCGCGATGCTGCATGGATATATGAGTACACACATACAGTCGTACCTTCGGTAGCGGCTATTGGCAAGATGCCTATGGGAAACTCGTCCAAAATCCATATTCAATTCATTGAGAAGGAGGCTCTTTCCTCATAGGATTTTGACCGTCTCACTCCGTGCTTTCGCCATTTTCCCACTATATAGCCCCTACTAGCGATTAGACGAGCGCTGAGCACCAAATCATCGTGCCAACTGCCTTCAAAGGCCGTTGGCTCGATGGTTCCCTAATTAGCCTAAAATTAACTAATCAGCTTAGCAAATGAAGCAGTAAGAGTGTCAGGAACGGCCGTCTTTTTGTGGGCGAGCGGGCGTGGTGAGCGTCCGGGTACCTAGTTGCTGGCCGCTTGATAAGGCCTCATACGGGCACCTTCAGTGGGAAAAAGGTGCTACGCAGTACTTGCTCGGAGGCGTGGAATTCCGTCCTGCCAGGAGTACTCACTCGTGTTAGGTATTTATCGTGCCAACTGCCTTCACTCCTAACTCACTGAAAGCAGAGGGCCAACAGACCATGTGTGCATACATGAATGCCTGCTTTCTTGGCAAAAATTATTCCTGAAGGTGATCTGTCGATGCAGGTGAGCTATTAATTGAAAAATAAATAAATATAGTCGGTTTCAGATATATCGATGATCCGTCAAACACCTTCGAAACAAGCCGAGTGGTCTCCGCCCTCCAAACGGTCAGTTTGAGATATTGCTTGAGAACAGCAAGTGGTTTGCTTCAAGTTTTGCTTTCAGATGGAAGCGGACATCGAATTCGTGGCGGCGCCATGTCAGAGGGAAATCGATGCCTACATACAAAATAACTAAGCAGGTCTTCGCTCTACGCTTCGGAATTTTGACGTACCGACAGAGTCCGATTTTGAGTGGTTCAGTAGAGAAAAGCACGTATTTGATTTGACAAGTGCCTTCACCTAGAATGATAAAATTGTTTCAGGAGAAGAAAATGTTCAGCTTGTTTGGAAATGAACCCGTCACAATTACCCGAAAGGATCAAACCCTCAAAGGTGAATAAATTGATCATATATGCAAGTCATTTGGATGTTGAAAAGCGTTGTTTAACGCCGCAGTTTGCGTTCCGGAACGCAAGTGTGAACTGTGAGCTCGAATCCTGCCCGGGGTCAGATGAAATCCAAATGTCATTCATAGTCTTGGAAATATAGGTCGGAAGGAGAGTCTTTTCACTGTTGTGACTTTTTTCTTTTCAATTTTCTAACTCAACATTCAGTGGGAATCAGTCAACAATATGCTCGTTAAAGTTAAAGGCAGCGTCCGCGATCACCAAACTGGTTAACAGTTATCAGTGCTTGCTGGCATTGATAAACGCTAAGTTTCTGGAGTTCCGAGGCGGCGACGTGTATTGGAGAACTCACCAAAGGTCTGCGAAACTCGTCCACATGCCTTAAATTTCGTAGGGTCTTATTTCACGCTCTTCCACACCTTTTTCCTACTTTTTTTGATTAGTGCTTCATTGGCCACCTGTTCTAACAAATTTGACCCCTGAGACCTGCCAAAGTCCATCGCGGGCGCTGTCTTTAACCACTACAGTGTTCCACCTAATGGACTGGTGAGCACTTCCCCTCCTCCCAGAACCGAGGAGGCTGCGAGTAGAGTAAGTCAGCGGCCTCTCGACTGATGTCATCAAAGTTGCTGAAAGTTTTCTTAGCTAAGAAAGCCCTAAGGAGGCGGAGCAGGTAGCAGTCTAGGGGACTACGTCAGGAGAATATGATAAGCGGGGACTGGTCTCCCAGCCTTGCTCCTCAATTATTTGGTAGGTCTCCATAGCAGGTATGGGGTCTCGCGTACTACGAAGAGGTGCCCCAAAGCTAGTCTCGGTCATTTTTCTCCAACAATTTTCACTGGTTTCAGGAGCTGAGCGACACAAATGGTAGCGATGACCGTGTGTTCTCATATGGGCAGCTTGTTGTGCAGCATTCCCTTCGCGTCCCAGAAGCAGTAAAGAAGAACCTTCTCGGAATCATGCCCGGTTTGGACTGCTAGGATGGGTCTTCTCCTTGAGAGAGACACACGGTACTGTGTGAGTTGAAATCACAGAGGACCCATCTCTCATCTCCACTAAGCAGTCTCCTTAAACTCCTTCTGACGAGGGCGGAGAAGGGGAGACTCACCAAGGGGTACCCAGGTGCACAGCGTGCCATCGGTCAAGGTATGAGTGATCCATCGAGCCAGTACTTTTGGTAGTCAAGGGCTTACAGGCGGTGGACGACTGTCAGTTAGGTACATCCGAGTCTTGTCGCAAGACTGCGGGTGGTAGCCTCCGGATCCTCCTTGACAGCTTCGAGAATGGTGGAGTCTTCCACTTCGTGGGGCCGTCCCAACCAGAGG